ACACCCGGTGAAGGAGAGTCAAGGGCTGGTGAGAAGCAGTAGCTGCCTGTGCGACTTTGCATCCTGCCCAAGTGCAGGCACAGTGCGTTGTCAACGCTCCAGCACTCCTAAGTCAGGGCTTTCAAACCTTGGATCCACAGACACATGGGCATTAGGGCTTCCTGAACCCTTACTTGCAGGGAGCAAGTGTGCATGTTCCTAGGTACAGAGCTCATGGCTTATGTCTGATTCTCACAGGAGTCTGAGGCTTAGAGGTCAATGTGTTCGTCCAACTAGGCCTTAGGAGCAGAGGCCCAGGAGCAGGAAGCAGAGCAGTGAGCCCGCGCTCTGCATTCATGGTCATCTACAGGGAAGAGAAAGAAAACACCAAGAGCAAGGAGCGCTCACGTCTGGCACAGAGTCTCATCCGCTGCCCCCTCTCCGTTTTCCTGCCCAGGGCTTAGAGACCATCTTAACATGGTCACATCGCTTCACAGCTGCTGAAGCTGAGGCTTGGGAAAGGTAAGCAACTAGCCTATTATCACAACAAATAAACAGCAGAGCTCAGATCCCATCCGAGGTTTAGCTGGCTGCAGGGCCGCCTGTTTAGCGACTACTCTACCCTTCCCAGGGCCAGACCACTTGCCGCTTCTCACGGGAACCAAGAGCCGTATTATTAATCCGATCCACTTACCTACCATTAAAACCAAATCCAAAGCCTGGCACAAGAAGGTACACAAAGGTGTCTCCTGCAAACTCTGATGTAAAGAGGAAAGAAAAGGAAATCCAGACAAGTTCTCAAGACCTCACTGTGCTGGGGAGCGCGGACACCTGGTGTCTATTTCAAAGAACTATTGTATATCTTAATTGCAGGTAAATAAATGGACATAATAGTCTCTGTTGACTCTTTTCAGCTCCAGCCACTTAATTGTGGTCTGGTCAAAGGTGAGAAACCCGACTTCCCCATCTCCAGCCAACACAGCTTTGCCAAAATTTTTAAGTCAACCTTATTCAACCACAATCTCTCTCATCCACTACCTACCAGGTAACAGGCCTCAGGCCTACAGGGGTGGGGGCACAAAGATGACGAACACATCTCATCCCTTCTTCCTTGCAAGAAATAAGGATGCATTTCTGTGTAAATGACACAATCCCAAATACGAGATGCAAATCATTGCTTTAAATACTTCTAAGAGGCCAGCTTGCAGAAAAAGTTTGCTTCAACACCAAAGAACGGTGAAGACCAGAGCTGTCACCTCCATGGAAGAAGGACCAACACTGGGCCTGGCATGTTATATGCTATGTGTCAAAAACTCACAGAAATTTTAGGAAGCAGCTTTTATTAACCCATTTTACACTTAAAAATAGAGTTGAGAAAACTCTCTCCAGTGTCACATGGCCCCTGATCCAGCGGCTAAGCCAGAATTGCCGTTATTCTTCAATGCCTCCACAACCCTCCCTGTGCCATGGCCTCCTGCTGAGAACCCCTTGCTGTGAGCTGAAAGCAGGTCCCAGCCCACCTCTTGGTTTACCTACTTGGTTTTCCAAGAAGCATATTCAACACAGGGATACAAGTGTTAGAGAGGACCACTATGCAACATGGATCCATGACCTAGAAAGGGTTCAATTCACTGTGCGACCTTTCTCTTCGATGATCCTTTTTTGTAATTTATTCATTTGAGAAGTAGACAGACAGCGTGTCCACCGCCTGTGCACAACAGCTAGGGCTGGGTCAGCCTGACGCTGGGAGTCAGGAACACAAGCCAGGTCCCACACAGGTGGAAGGGATCCCATCACTGCAGCCACCACTGCTGCCTCCCCGGGTCTGAACTGGCAGGAAGCTGGAGTCAGGAGCCAGAGCTGGGAGCTGAAACCAGGCACTAACGCCAGCTCCCTCCACGATCATTTTTAAGAAGTCTACCATTCACCGTGTTCCACCCCATTTTTCAGGTGCAACTCACATCCTCAAACACAAGCCCACACCCAGAGCTGCAGAAGCCCAGCCCCTCCAGAGCCGCTGATCAAGCTGGTTTCCTTTGTATAAAAGCAGTCATGAAAGTCCTACCAGCCACCTATCACCCAGTGCCGGGACAGAATCTACCGTGCCCTCCTCCCAGGGCAGTTAATCATCTACAGGATTCCTTGTAGCTTCTGCAGTGCCAGTAATGGCAGCATAAAAATGCCTGGCAGAGATTAGTTTCCATCACTCCCTCCTGTAATAAACAACCAAACTGCTGACATTTAAGCTATCAAGCACTTGGGTCATGGGGAAACGCCTTGTCCCAAGAGTCGCTTTATTATTATGGATGACCCCGATTCCCAAAAGTTTTCCAGGCAAAGTCCACCGTCTTCTAGCGTTTCAACATCAGATTCATGCTATCAATAGGATTCCGAGTGTTGCCTAAGATCTGACATGATGTGTCAGGCAGACAGAATAATAAATTTTCATTTTTTAAAGTTATCTAGACTAGCAATGCCATAAAACGCCTAGCACAGTTGCTCTTGATTGTTAATAGAGGGCAATTATACGATACCTTTTACCCTGATGATTCTGTACCCATCACATTAAAAGGAAAATTAATCACAAGAACCGCTCGGTCCAGCCTGGGTGTGCTAAGCTCTTCAATTTCATAATAATTAAGTTAACAGAATTGTTAAGGTGGTTAATATTTTGTGACGTTTTTGTTCAATAAAGAAAGAGTTCACACTGTTCTCCAACCTTAGGTGACCTCAGGTCAAGGGATCTGCAAAAGCCCTTAGGGAATCTCGATTTGCTGGGAAGTTCGGTACAGGGGAGCTCTGGGCCCTGCACGTGAAGGAGACCAGCTGGCCCACCCCCTGCAGGGCAGCCTTCCCCTGGCAAGATGCCCCCTGCACTGCCTCGCGGGGGCTCCCCCACTCCCTGCTGTCAAGAACAGCAACTCCAATAGCTAAGGGACACAGACAAAGCCCAACTAAGCCTTTGGGAAGCTGGCTAACTTGCTTATCAGTTAAAGGGAAATTAAGTCAGATGAAATTTTAGCATCACTGACATCCATGTAAAAATCAAAGGACTCCTATTTCTAGTGTCATGTACAAAAGCCTACCACGTTATCTGTGCTCTGCTTTGTATCCTACCAGATTTTTCCTTTGTATAGTGAGGACCCTCAGTTACCATTCATCCCTGTTGTCTATGATTTTGAGCGGGGGCAGCTAGAAATACAAAAGCTCAGTGCGGTTTGCCCAGGGGCAGAGGTGTGCTTTGCTAGCTGCCGCATTGCCTCCCCTGGGGCAGTGTGCTCAAAGTCGGGGCGTGCTTAGATCCAGCTACTGAGTGCAGCCAGAACTTAGACCCTGGCTGGGGAGACGGACCCGGGTGCAGGAGAAAGGAATCACAGCTCGCATTGAGTTTCATGTGGCTCCTGGAACAGATGGCCACAAACTCAGTTGTGTAAAACAACACACGGTATTTTGCAATTCTGGGGTCAGAAGTACAAAGCGAGCCTTAGAGGCTGAAGTCAATGTCTCCACGGGGCTGAGCTCCTGCTAAAGACTCCACAGGGGAAGCCATCCCCTTGCCTTTTCCAGCCTCGAGAGGCCGCTGGCTTCCCCTGGCTTGCAGCCCCTTCCCTCGTCTTCAAAGCCCATCACGCCAGCCTGTGTCTACAGCTGTGTCTCTTCTCTCGCGCTCTCTGAGCGTCCTGCCTCCCTTCTAAAAGGGCTTCTGTGGATCCACGGGGCTCACCCCAGAGTCCAGAAGCATCTCCCCCACTCCACAGCCTTAATTCCGTGGCACCTGCACAGTCCCTTCTGCCCCAACAGGGTCACAGATCCCGGATGAGGATGCACGGAGGGAGGGGCCCATGCAGCCCCCCTCCCAGACAAGCTGAGATCCAGGAACCCAGGAGACGGGCTTGGGAGGGGCAGCCCTTCAGGCTGGGGTTGGCTTTGTGGAAGACAAGCTTGCCAGGGGAGCCAGACCACGCTCCACAGTGGTGGGTGAGAGCTAAGTCGTGAGTCAGAAAACCTGAGGCCTGGGTTTCCTTATAATCATGTGCAAATTAACATGCAAGGGTACTTCAAAAATTCCTTAAAGGGGCCGCACTGTGGCGCAGCAGGTTAAACCACGGCATGCGACGCTGGCATCCCATACAGAGTGCCAGATCCAGTGCCAGCGCTCTGCTTCCAATCCGCTCCCGATAATGCTACTGGGGAGGGGGCGGAAGATGGCCCAGGTGCTGGGGGCCTTGCCACCCATGTGAGGGACTGGAATGGGGCTCCCGGCTCCTGGTTTTAGCCTGGCCCAGTCCTGGTTGTTGTGGCCATTTGGGGACCAGCTGGAAGATCACTTCCGCTCTTGCTCTCTATCTCCCTCCCTCTCCATCTCCTTCTCTCTCTGTCACTCTGCCTTTCAAGTAAATATTTTTTTTAAATTTCACAGAAAACGGATTTATGTTTGTTCCAGTGCCGAAATATTTTGCAAACCATGCAGAAAAGGGGTCTCCAAAACTTCAGGGGAAATGTGCATCAGGAAAAAACCACACAGGGATTTCAAATCATTTTTGGCACCAAAATAAACTTCCAAAAACTTTCATTTCTTTCATTGTTTTTATCTGAAAGGCACAAAGCCAAAAAGAGAGAGAGAGAGAGAGATTTCCCTGGTTCACTCCCCAAATGCCCCACAACAGTTAGGGCTGCGCCAAGACAAAGCCAGGAGCCCAGAGCTCCGCCCGGGCCTCCTACCTGGCTGGCAGGCACCCAAGCCCTGAGCCGCCACCTGCGCCTCCCGCGGTCGGCGTCGGCAGGAAGCTGGAACCGGAAGCCGAGCTGGACCTGACCCAGGCACCCCAACACAGGCGCAGGCGCCCCGGCGGCAGGTGCACCCCACCTTTGAACCCCACTTTCCCATGCCCCGTCACCTCTCTCTCATGGGTTACTGCGAGGATTAACAGGGCGATGCGTGGAGAGCGCCTGACACACGCATGACACTTCTCCGGGAAGAAACAGAGCCCGACCCTAAAACAAAGATGACGTCGGCTTACCTGCCCACTGCGGACCACGCCTCTCCCGGCTGGAAGGAAACAGCAAGAGCGAAACCGGCCATGGAAAAATTCACGTCCTCTGAGTGACCACAAAAACATCTGGAGGCCAGTCCCTTCCCAGAAGCTGAAAGTCCCACATCCCGCGGGCAAGGCCCCCTGCCAGCCTCCTCGGCCATTTCCGCTCCGAAGAGCCAGAGCTTGGGGGCGTGGCCAGGCCCAGGCCACCCCGTTGGCGGGAAACCGCCGTTTCCATGGCAACCCCGCCCGGGCCCGCAGCTGGGCGGCGGCCATCTTGGGCCCTGGCTGAGGCGGCAGCTGCGGGCCTCACGCACCTCGAGGGCACTGCCTCCCCCTCGGGTCTCCTCAGACAACGGTTTCTTTTAGCGTGCGGGGTTTGTGAGGAAAGTGATTCTCCCGGGGATGGCTGACTGCGGCGTTCCTCCATGGCTGCCTCCTACATGCGCCCGCTGGGCGCCCAGGGCTTGGCGCTGGGCTGGCCTGAAGTTTGTGTCCGGCCGCCCCGAGTCCGCGTGGTGGAACCTGCTCCCCAGTGTGGTGGGCTTCAGAGGAGGGGCTTTGGGGAGGTGAGGTCAATGCGCTACCCGGAGGGACCCCAGAGACGTCCTCCCCGGGCTCTCTCTGGACCAGGAGGAAAGCCCTGGCCAGACCCCGACTCCACCAGCGCCAGGACCGTGGGGAGCGCGTGGACCCCTGGCCCGGTGGCAGGAGTTTCGCCGCAGTGGACGCCCCGGATGGCCGCGGGCCCAGCCACCAGAGCGCTTCCGGAAGCCGGGGCTGACGCCTCTCCGGGTTGCATAACGTGCCGCCAGGGCTGTGTGAGCAGGTGTTTCGCAGCTGGGAGCTGATCTTCGCTCTCAACCGGAAGTCCAGATTGACGGTTTCAACAGGGCAAGGCCTTGGCCCTGCGTGAACTCCTGGCTGAGTTCCCCCTGTGGCTCCCACGTTGTATTCCAGGGCTGGCTCCTCCTGCCTTTCAAGTCAGCAGAGGCGGCAGAGGGTGAACGCGGGTTGCAGACACGGGCACTCCAGCGTCCAGGAGAGCCCAGGGCGGGGAGGGGTCCGAAGGCGCAGGTGCAGCTCTGCGGGGCCACACGCGGTCGTGTGTAGCGGTTAGAGTTGACCTGGCTCTGTGTTCTCACGAATCAAGACCCTTGTCGCAAGAAACAGAGACTGCAAAAGCGCTCAAGCAAGAGGGTCGCGTCGGGGGTCACGGGTGCAGCCCGCCTCAGGAGTGGGTAGGAGGTGGGGTCGGGGCTCCTCGGGCCCTCTGCCCCTCCCCCTCTCTAACCCCGCCTGTGCTCTGGGGCTCCTGTCACAGCCCTTCCTCCCCCCCTGACTTTTGCTAGGTTTTCTCTGCTTCTCAGGCTGCCAGCAGCTCTCCTATTAAGAAACCAACAATTTGAGCCCAGAACCTCTTAGCTCCAACTAAAAATAAAACAACACATAGGAAGGCCAGTGGTGACATTACATTTAAGTGGCAATTTACATAAAGTGGAGACAACTAGCAGTCGTCTCCACGGGGACCCAGAGGTCCAGAGGGGGCTTGGGGAAGGCGGTGTGTGGCAGGTTTAACCTTCCCGGAGCTGACATTGACCTGGTCCTTAGCCACAGCAGGATGCAGGGTCACGGTGGCCCGGGGCCCTTTGCATGTTCTGTGTGAACTGGGTGAAGGGCCAGTCGGGAAAGTGGTGAGTGGGGGAGAGAGCACAGAACACTACGTGGCAGATGTTCAGTGCAGGGTTGTTCTCAAGGCAGAAAGCGCCCATATAAGGTCCCTCACACTCGGGCTGTGTGATACTGCAGTACGGAACGTCCCAGCTGGAACTCGATCCAAGTGGGAATTTATCACCTGACACTGGAGGGGCGAACCATTCATAGGGTGACCAGAAGGGCCAGAGGATGGAAGCCCACATTCTCGGAAGGTTGCGTTTCTCTGTTAAATGATGGCTGTTTGCTCTAGAGAACAAAGGGCAGGAGGAGGGGTGGGCCTAACTGCTGCCTTTACACGTGCGACATGCTCTGGTGCCGGAGAGCGCCTGGTGGGCTCTGTATGGCCACCAGGAGGCAGGACTGGACCAAAAGAGTGGAACCCACCAGCACACAGCTCTGTGCACCGATAGAAGATTGAATTGCTTTTGCAGCAAAAAGTCCACGTTCCTGGAAGTGCACATCAGAGGCGGACACCGCCTTGGGAGATGGGGGTTCCATCCCTAGAGGCGCCCCTCAGGCTGGGCAGCCCTGTGGAGGAGATTGGCCTAGATGACTCCCCAGTTTCCTTCTGATCTTGGAGTGGAGCCCCAAGTGCTGACCCATTCACTGGGGAACAGCCCTGCTTTACGGGGCCACATGAAAAGCTGATGTCCCCGGCCCATGGGACATCAGGGAAGATGGTACCAGGGTTGCCCAACAGCACTCATCCTGGGGCTGGAAACCACTTCTGGTGGGTAGGTTCTGAGAAGGTTCTGTGGCCCATCGCCATTGGAGGTGCCAACACCCGTGCCCCTGACATGGGCTTCACAACGACATAGGAGGCAGGCATCCGGACTCCCATTCTGCAGGTCAGCACGTAGAGCCCATCACTCAGCATGGAGAAAGATGAACCAGGGCGTATTCCTTGGATAGAATACTACATAGAAGCAAAATGGAATGAGACACACGATATAGAAATGCACACCCACGTACATCAACACGTATGCCAACCAGGCCTCAACACACAAGGCTGTGTGACAAAACAAGGCTATAGAATAATACGACACCATTTATAAAATTCTTAAAGCCTGTGTAAAACAATACCTATTGCCCATGGCTATATTTGCAACATATGAGTGTATGAAAAAGCACAAGCCAAATTAATAACCATGGCTGGAGGCAGCAAGAAGACTGGAACTGAGTGGAGGTGATCAAAGGACAGCTCTTTTTTACACATGAAAAAGCAAATAAAGGGGCCAGCACTGTGGCGTGATGGATAAAGCTGCCGCCTATAATGCTGGCATCGCATAAGAGCACTGATTCCAGTTCCGGCTGCTCCACTTCCGACACAGCTCTCTGCTGTGGCCTGGGAAAGCAGTAGAAGATGGCCCAAGTGCTTGGGCCCCACACCCACTTGGGAGACCCAGAAGGAGCTCCTGGATCCTGGCTCTCCAGATTGGCCAAGCTGTTGTGGCCATTGGGAAGTGAACCAGCAGATGGAAGATATCTCTCTCTCTCTCTCTCTCTCTCTCTCTCTCTCTGCCTCTCTGTAACTCTGCTTTTCAAATAAATATTTTTAAAAATAAAGCAAATAGGGGCCAGCGCTGTGGCGTAGCGGGTAAAGCCACACCTGCAATGCCAACATCCCATATGGGCACCGGTTTAAGTCCTGGCTGCTCCACTTCCGATTCAGCTCTCTGTTATGGCCTTGAAAAGCAGTAGAAGATGGCACAAGTCCTTGGGTCCCTGCAACCATGTAGAAGACTTGGAAGAAGCTCCTGGCTTCTAGCTTCGGATCAGTGCAGTTCCAGCCATTGTGGCCATCTGGGGAGTGAACCAGCAGATGGAAGACCTCTCTCTCTGCATCTGCCTCTCTGTAACTCTGCCTTTCAAATAAATAAATAAATCTTAAAAAAAAAAAGTATGAATGCCATTGTATGCAAAATACGTATTCTCTAAACTGAGAGAAGCAAAATAAGGCCCCAAGAGACCAAATAGCTCTCCCAACATTGCCTGGGTTGTGTGGTGGAATGCAGCAGTGGGTTCTGACCCAGACCTGCTCAGCAGTGGCCTCTACCTCCTGCTGGACTGGACCCTGCATATTTGACTGCCCCTCCCCCTGCCCCTCCCCCTCCCATCTCTCTCCCAAGTCACTGCCCACGGAGACCCCATCCCCACCCCATAGTCTCCACCTTCAGTAACAGGGAGGGCTCGGGATGTCTAGGGCAGGGGAACAGCTTGTTCAGCATCCCCATAAGAAGTAAGAGCTTTGCATCAAAGCCCAAGACCACAGCTGGCGATGGAGAGTCAGGGGTGGGAACAGAGGGAGCCAGAGAGGGCTATAAATAATTGTTTTATAGGGCCCAGCAGGAGAGGGAGACAGGACTGAGCTCCCGGGCACGGTTCCCAGGCCGGAGCGCCTCAGTCGCTCAGCTGCCTGTTGGTTCCCAGGTTCTGCCCTAGGGAAGGGTCAGGTCAGTCAGGAACTCTTGGGGAGAGGATGCTCTGACCAGCACGTCCCTGCGAACAAACCACCCAGCTCAGTGCCACTGGTGAGAGGACGTCCTACTGTGCAAAAAGTGCAAGGGGAGTTCAGCGGGAAAGTGAACCGTGGTGGGAAGACAGAAGCAGTGGGAGAGACCACCACCACCGAAGCGAAGGGTCAAGGGGTGCTCCGGAGAGACGCCCCCTGCCCCACAGGTCCTCACAACGGTCCCGCGTTTCTCATCGCAGGGGCCAGAGGCAGCAGGGGCTTCCCACAGAAGAAGCTGGGTGTCTGCAGACATTTCTCCACGGCCACTCAGTTGTCAGTCGTGACCGACTGTGCGCCCCACGAGCAGAGACTAGAAGGTGTGCACAAAGCCTCTCTTCCCACCGAGCTCAGACTGTAGCTGAAGAAACAGGCAACAAGCAAACAAGAGGTCAGGGAGGTTGTGTGTCCAGAAGGGACGGGTGTGGCTGGAGCAGAGAAGGGTGGGGGCCCTGGACCCCCTCCTGGGACCTGACAGCTGTCCATGGTCAGCTGGGCAGAGGGCGCTGCCCCCTCCTGCCAGCAGGCCGGCGTCTTCCACGTCCCCTGTCGCTTCCCTTTCACCTGCAGCAGCCCTCCCTGGAGTTTTCTGAGGTCAGCTCACCCTCTAGTGGACACACCTCAGCCATCAGCACAGCCACAATTTTTAGTGGGATTTCTCTGTCTCTCCTAGCCCAGCACATATCTCTAGCGTGCTAGGCCTGCACTGCAACGTGCCCACTGCACTGTGTACTGCAGGCTTCCACAGAGACAGAGCAGCAATGGGACATGAGGAGACAGAGGGAGAGAGGTGTGTCATGAAGGACTGGCTTGTGATGCGATGGAGGCTGAGAAGTCGCACGCTCAGTGGTTTGCATGCTGGAGGTCCTGGAGAGCTAGAGGGGGGGTTCTAGGCCTGGGAGAA